CCCGCCTGCTCGCTAGCACGTCGGCTTGGTCCGAACGACTGTACATACGCGCGCGCCGCCCGTTTCCGTTTTTGCACCCACCCCGCCCGCTTCCGTGTTTGCGCCCGCGCCGCCCAGCCATTCCTTGCGTCCCTGGCGCGCCAGCGATTTCGTGGGCCTCTCCTCCGCTGAGGCCTGGACCCCGCCTTGAAATCTGCGGTCCCACTGCCCGTTTGGACCCCGCGGTCCCGCTGCCCGATTTCGGCCTCCTCCGAATTTCGCTGGGCCCGCGACAGGGCATGTCGCCGGGCCCTCTCCATCCTTTAGTATGTATAGAGAAATATAACGAAATAAAATGTCAGCCAATAATTAACTAAATAACGCACTTGAAAGTAAAATCTCAATGGTCATCAGATAAGTGCATTCCTATGATTAGCGTAAACAATCTCTTTGTTTCAATATGAAAAAACTGTAGCTTGGAGCATGGTGGTTCCATAACGGGATACCAATTGATGTCTCTCTCCCTTCAAAGAAGACCATCTAACTACCGTTGATGGGTACCCGTGTCCGATGCCTCTCTCCCTTCAAAGAAGACCGTCTAACTACCGTTTATACTAGAGTCGGAAGCCTGGCATGTGCAGTGGATGGGTGCTGGGGAATGCCTTAGTCGCCGGCGGGAGTTGGGGGCTGGAGTTGTGAGAATGGTCTTTATTCAAGTATACAGCAGCAAGTCTCCAAGTTACCGAAACCAAATGCTAACATCACATTTCACACTTACTTCAGAAATTAGCATCTTCAGACACACGCACTCAACTTTAACACAATGCGTAAACAGATCAAAGATAGAGGTAGCAGCAACTTTCAACAGGCGTATAGACATTCCTACTCTTACTGTTTTTGTTGTAGTCAGTACTAATCTCCTTTCAGAAATTTGCCTCTTCATACGGAAGCACACAACTTTGACAGGATGTGTAAACAGTACCAGCATATTTTCAATAGACATATAGACAGTCCTACTTACCGTTTGCTGTAATCTCCTTCAAGTTTTGCTTTCCTTCTATTGCCAAGTGGTCGTCCTACCGAGGAGGAACTCCTGGGGCAGTAGGCTGCTACATTGAAGCAGAGACTGGGCCTCGCTACACCACTCCCCAAAATGGCCATTTTCGGGAGTGGAGCATCGCCGCACTCACTCCCAAAAGTAATGTGCCAGTAGAAATTCAGGAGCTTTTAGGGTTCAGATTTAGAGAGCACTCCTAGTAGCCGTTTCTCCTCCAGCCTGCGAAAGTGCAATTTCAGGAGACCTCGGCCGGTGGGCTCGCGCAGTACCAAACCAACCCTCCCGAAGTATGAAACAACGGTAATTCACATGAAACAATCCCTATCGGTTCCATCCGAACGCACCCTTTACCAACTTGGATTTGAGAGCGGCCGTTTTGAGAGCTGAGCATGGGTCTCACTTCGCTACTCTCCACACTCCAAAAAATTGGAGAGTGCGCGGAGAACTGAAAAACTCTCCGAGTTCGTGATTTTTGGTTCACCGCTGCACTAACTCTCCACTCTCCGAGACTCCGACTCGTGAGTGCACTAGCAGTCTAGTAGACACGGTGACAGCACTGGAGAACACGGCGTGATCTGCATTTTGTCCGCCCTGACTCCAGGTACACTCCGAATGTGGAGCAACTTGGAGAGTCGGGCGGAGGTCCATCCGAAAAAACCACAATTGCAGGCTCAGAACTCTCCAGTCGCGGAGAGTCGCGTTAGAGAAGTCTTCTGACAGCTCTCCGATGCTTTTTTGCTCCCTCAATTTGGAGAGTTTTTAGTTTGTGCAGCAATGCAAAACTCTCCGACCCCCCCAAATCCCCCCCATCCACCCACCCAAAAAAAAAAAAAAAGAAACTCTCCGCGTGGCTCAGAGAGTAGTGCAGCAAGACCCTATGGCAAAGGGCACTCCCTGACGGGCTTTTCCACTATCCAAGGTTCAAGAGTGCTCGCATTTTTTGTGGAGATGCGAGAGTTGTGCGGCAAGGCCCACTGTATGAGGGGGAAAAAAAGGGAGAAACCGACAAGAAACGCACTAGGACTTTCCTTTCCCTAGGATTGCTCTGACTGCAATTACGCCCGGACCTATATGCATCTGACCCCAATCACGTCCACAGATCCGTAGAAAAAGTGCTAGTGTGAGTATGCCTTAAGACAGGCTGTTTCACTGGAGTTTCACCTACTATATTGTCACATATGAAATGACCTGAAACCGCGCGCGAAGGGCCTTTCTCCACTACTCTCGATTCAGCAATTACCGAGAGCACAGGGTCACTCCACTTACCCTGACCTCCATTCAGCAGTTAGAGAGAGCGGAGGGTCGCTCCACTTATTCTCAACCCATCCACTCTCTAAAATCAGTCGAGAGTGCATCAAGACTTCCCAATGGAGAGTGCATCAAGAGCACCCCGAGAGACCCCAATTGAGAGTGCATCGAAAGGGCTCCGTGAGGGTGCATAAAGAGTGCCCAATGGAGAGTGCATCAAGAGCACCCCGAGAGACCCCAATCGAGAGTGCATCGAAAGGGCTCCGTGACAGTAGTGGAGCGAGGCCCCAAAAAAAAGTAGGATGGTAAAAAGAACAGAAATTCAGCAAAGGTTTTTCTCTTCTTTTTCCTTCCAGGGGATGGAAGGTGGGGGTGAGGAGGAGAGAAGTAAGAGAAATCCAGCACAAGGATTGACCACAGGAAAGAAAAAGGAGACAGAAGTGTCTCCAACATGGGCTCAGTGAAATTGAATTCTCCGTGAAGATGCAGAGCACCAGCGGCTAGACAGTAAGACCCCGTGCACCTTGGTACCACTTCCATAGCCCGCGCCGAAACAGTGCTTTACTCCTGGATAGTGCAGTTAATTGCCGTGCCTCGACGCCTTTTGGGGAGAACCAGCTAGCTCGGAGTTAGAGTGGCATTTCACCACTAACCACAGCTCATCCACCGGACCCCGTGCTCACCTTGGTACCACTTCCATAGCCCGCACCGAAACAGTGCTTTACCCCTGGATAGTGCAGTTAATTGCCGTGCCTCAACGCATTTCGGGGAGACCCAGCTAGCTCGGAGTTCGAGTGGCATTTCACCACTAACCACAGCTCATCCGCCGGTTTTTCAACATCAGTCGGTTTGGACCTCCACTTAGAGTTTTACCCAAGTTTGACCCAAGCTTCATCCTGGCCACGGTTAGATCGGAAAAGGCTGGCAGAGGGAGAAGACTGGAAACGTAAGAGCATGAAAAGAAAAGAAACAGGGCCTCGCTCCACTACTCTCGACATGCAGAAAAGAAACAACTTGGTGGTGCATCTTGACATGTTCTAGCGGTGGTGCATCTTCCCATGTTCTAGCAGCGGTACATCTTCCCATGTTCTAGTCGGAGATCATTCTCATTTTGCACATTTCGGGAGAAGTGGAGCGAGGCCCATGGTGATAAACAGAGGCCATAGACTGTCTTTGCCATGGTGATAAACAGAGGCCATAGACTGTCGCTGCGACAGAAATTTCCATATACATCACCCGCATGCGCTGCGCTCAGAAGAAACTCGGTCATTGCGCTCACTGCCGCTCAGAAGAAACTTGCGCTCAGAAGAAACTCGCTCATTGCGCTCACTGCCATATATACACATTTCAGCCAGGAAGCGCTTGCTGGAACTCATCAGGGGCCTTCTTGGGGTTCGCCCCAGATCCACACCTTAACACCACCAGTACATCCGATCAGGGGCCTTCTCGGGGTTCTCAGATCCGCCTTACACCACCAGTACATGCCTTCTCGGGGTTCTCCTCAGATGCCCCTTACACCACCAGTACATCCGAAAAGCAGATTGAGCCTCTCCTAAAAAAATAAGAGGCCATGAATCGGCCCTTATCCTCGGATAAGGGGCGATTCATGGCCTCCATTTTTGTTAGGAGAGGCTCAATCTGCTTTTTTTGGATGTACTGGTGGTTTACGGCAAAGAATCAGAAGGATGACAAGGACAAAGGGAGGAGGCAAATTCGAGGGCCCGCATTGATTGGCATCTCCTTTTTACCCTCTTGGTTTACGTTGATGGACATCTAATACACACACGGTGGGAGCAAAACAAGACTATCCAAAGGGGGGGGGGGGGGGGGGGAGGAGAGGGGGAACAAGAGTAGCTGGCAGCAGCAGCAGGACCACAACAGAACGTGCTCGGTCGGAAAGAAAAAGAAAAAAAGATATCCACTCATTCCAAAACATCCCCAATCCATTCTTTTCCACGCATATTTTCTCTCTCTCAACCTTTTTTTCTTTTTTCTTTTTAACTCTCTCTCTCTCTCACACACACACACACACACACACACACACTCTCTCTCTCTCTCTCTCTCTCACACACACACACACACACACACACACACACACACTCTCTCTCTCTCTCTCTCTCTCTCTCTCTCTCTCTCNCTCTCTCTCTCTCTCTCTCTCTCTCTCTCTCACACACACACACACACACACACACACACACACACACACACACACAAAACTAACCCCGGTTTCCCTGTCAATCTTCCTAATAGTCCTTTCACCTACCTACCTCTCTAACTCCCTCCCTCCCTAACGTTCATCATTTCACCCCTCCCTCCCTCCCTCCCTCCCTCAGCGGTCATTCATTCATCTAGCTCTAGACTTAAGTTCTGACTATCCCTTAGTGTCATTGCCAGGTCGATGACATTCACTACATCTTGGAATCCCCTCTGAGTGGCTTCATCTACAGCCGTCCTTTCGTACCGATTAAGAGCCGCCGGATTGGCATTCGCTTCCATGAGCACTTCTACCACACCTTTGTGACCGTTCAACGCCGCCCAATGAAGTGGAGTATTCAGTTCTTCGTTCTTTGCGTTCACATCTGCATTGCGACCGATCAGAATGCGGACGATATTTGTGTGTCCATTAGCAGAAGCCATATGCAGGGCAGTACGCCCCAACCCATCCACAGAATTAGGGTTTACTCCTGCTGCCAGTGCCGTAGTCACATCTTCTTCGTCCCCATAGCGTGCACCGGTGATAAGCAGATCGACGTAATCAACGGCAAGGGAAGCTTCCTCCTGGGAAGGAGTGGGGAGGGGCGGCTCCATACCCATAAGTACCCCCCAAAAAAAAGAAAAAAAAAATGTTTTCAACTTCTAGATTAGTTTTAAGTTTTAGCAAAACACAAAAAAAAACTAAGGTTTTATAAAGACGTCTCTTTTCCGGCCCTCCGATTCGCCGTCAAACAACAAAAGATGATGGATGGATCCAACAGCCGTCCGATCAGAGTAGAAAGGAAAGGAACAAGGAAGGTGCTGCCTCTCTCTCTCTCTCTCTCTCTCTCTCTCTCTCTCTCTCTCTCTCTCTCTCTCTCTCTCTCTCTCTTTCTCTCTCTCTCTCTGTGCACCTCCACCGTCAAACAACAAAAGATGATGGATGCATCCAACAGCCGTCCGATCAGCCTAAAAAGGAAAGGAACAAGGAAAGTGCTGCGTCTCTCTCTCTCTCTCTCTCTCTCTCTCTCTCTCTCTCTCTCTCTCTCTCTCTCTCTCTCTCTCTCTCT